TTCACTGCATGTTGCATGGTGAGAGAGAGAGCTAATCTTTAGCATCTCTCTCTTTTCTTCCTTTTCCTCTTTCTGTCTTCTCATCCACACCAGTAATTACCGTGTTTGTGATGGCTACTATAATACGGACTTACCTGGGTAAGGTAGAACCCTATATTAACAAATTTCTGGCATGACTTTTAACTTTACAAACTCGGTCAATATTGTGGATTTCCCTTAATTTTAATTAACTAGTTTTGAGATACCTGATTTGCTAAAGAATTTTTAACTATTATATGCCTTTATAATTTTAAATTGCTTGCCTCTGCATTTTGAATTTCCTAATTTTGACTAATTCTTATAGACAATTAAAAATGCTCTTATTAATTTCTGTTTCAATTCTGTCTAATAATTTTGTTTCTCTTTTCTGCTTATAATGCTTTCTAGCTATGAAGATAATAAGCCATTTATCAAGTAAGATCATTAGTTAGATGTGGAATTCACTGACTAAATTCCCTTTCCCTTTCATTCTGTGCCGTTCTCTACAGTTCCTTTTCCTTAACCTATTCATGATGGAGTCTTTTTTAGACTATTCTGTAGAGCAATATCCATATTTTTGTGACATTTCAGCAGGGTTTCTTCATGCGGAAGTTAGATCATCTAGTTTCAGTTTAGCTGAGTTTATCGGTACATCAAAGATTCGGGCTCTAGGCTTTTAATCTGCTGTTTAACCTTTGTGCATTTTGTTACATTATTTGGTGTCATATGGCAGCACCACTGTTTAAAATCTATGGTGTGATTGGTGGCTAAGCCTGACTTATCAATCTCTTTTCTAAAAGCAGATAAAGAATGGAGTAGCTGGGGCTTGTGCTATACTTCTGCATTTCAAAATAGTTTTGATATCCTATGCAGTTCTTGAGAAAGAAAAAGGTCATATCTACTCTTGCTGTTTTCACTGGAGACTAAGAGTAATAAATGGAATTGTTCTTTCTTTAATAGATAAAAGGTTAATCCCAAGGAATTCTTACATTTGAATATGAACCTAGTAAAAGTCAACTGCAGGAACTGAAATGTTAATATTGGATTTGGTGACATGCATTCTCATAAGTAACGTTACTAAAATTAATTTTCTTTTACAGATCCTGGGTCCTGGGTGCATTTGCTCTCCTGTGTCTCCTGGGCCTAACATGGTCATTCGGCCTGCTGTTTATCAATGAGGGGACTGTTGTGATGACGTATCTCTTCACAGTATTTAATGCTTTCCAAGGAATGTTTATTTTCATCTTTCATTGTGCCCTTCAAAAGAAAGTAAGTTCCTGAAAACACGGATTCGTCTTTCCTAAGTCCTTAAAAATGCCACATTTATTTTTTAAGAAATAGGGAAGAAAAATGGCAGTGTCAAGAATGAAGTATTTTGAAGTAGTTTCAGGAGGGGACTAGGATCCAAAAGCAGTTCGCACTGGGTGTGCTTGTAAGTCATACAACTGCTCTGTGGGCTAGGCAGCTTTGAAATGGATGTAGCATTTCCAGCTTGGACTTGAAAAGTTCTGAAGCTTTGAGAAGAAAATTGCTATAGAAAATGTACTGTTTAACATTGGTAATGTGGTATGTATTAGTCTGGAATTACAGCCAAAAGTCTTTTGTGCACGCATGAAACAAACTCTACCTCTGCTGCAGCACTGCAAACAAAGGATCATTTACAATATCAGCCCATCTCAGACTGGAAACTGTCTTTCTCAGATGAAGGCAGAGGAGCTCTCCTGAGATCCCATTAAGCTGCCACATAAAGCTACAGGTGATAGCAGGGATTCTACTGTGAGGGCTCAGTCATTAAAAAATTAATTGAAATGTAAAAATTAATTTTATGATGAATTTCAACACACCTTAGAAAAAAGTAGTCATTGATACTAGACAACTGCTAATGGGGAGAGTTTCCCAAAGATGCCAGCATGACTACTTTTTTTTTGAGTGTTTACCCCCCTGAACAATCCAACAGCTTCATGCTTTTAACTGGAAAAACTGAAGTCTCCTGGGAAGAGCCTTCCCTCACAAGTGATGCGTGGTAAGTTAGTTCTGCTCCCCTTTGCCTGATGAGAGCAGAGGGATCCAGAGGAGGCAGATCTGCTGAGGAGAGAGAAAGCTTCCCGGGGAGAGAGGAGCAAACAGAAAAAAGTGAAGGGCATAGCTGGGTGAAATTCTCTTTGGGTTCCCTGTAACCCTTCTCTTCCCCAGACCGAGAGGGGAGACAGCTTCCAAGGATGCCTTAGAGGTTCTTTAGTGAAGGACAAAAGAAAAAAACTCATAGCCTGTGTTAGAAGGCATGGCAAATGTAAGTAACAAGAACTGAGAGGAAGGGTAAACCTCAAAATATCCCACCCCAAAAAACTTAGCATAAAATGCAATACATCCTACACTTGGAAATACCCAATTTGCAGTATTTAGATTCTAAATATTTTTACCAGTTTTAGCCAGAGACCTAGCAATTATTAACTCCCATTATAATTAGCTCACCGGAGACATAATTAACTGGTATTTATAAAATGGTTTGAGACCATTGGATAAAGCATTGCTATGTATGTGCAAAAATCACATTCTTGTGTGTTCTCAACTGTTAACAGTATCAGTGTCTCTAAATTTGGTGTAGGCAATGGCATTCAGCCATGTTTTAGGGAA